ATTTACCAAGCATCTATCGTTGATCGATCTGCCTTTCGATAGAGGTCAAGAGAGATGCCCACAATTCAATTGGCCTGTGTTTCTAAAACACTTGGCGCACCGTTTGCGGTGAAGAGAGTACCTCTTCAGAAAACTCAACATATGTTGGGTATTCGGTATCTGTTTTACGAGTCCACTCTCTGTTCCTTATTCCGACGGACTGAGAGCGCTGACTGACTTTGCTGCCTCTGCTGCCTGTCTCTTTGCCTTTGCCTTCATATAAATGGGTCGCCGATAATCCCAGCTAGCCTGCATGTTATCATGGGTCGCCGATAGCCCGGTTCGCCAAGGCCACGTGCCTTTTCGTATTCGCCTTGGTGTATCGCTGCAAGACGGTTGCGTACGGGAGGCTAACGTCGAGACACTCCGCGATGGCATGGCGATACTGGAAGTTGTTTAGCGCCTTGGTGTCACTGAAATGGATTGCGGACAACCAACCGAACGAGAGAGGCTCTTGGCAGCTCAAGAGACGGGCTCGGGCTCTGCTGTCGGGCGGGAGTTGAAGAGCTTGTTGAAGTGGAATTTATGCAGCTGATCGGTCACTCGCTCCTTGAAGCCAGGGCAGGTCCAGTAGAGCAACGGGCCTACCCCGAGGCATCCATAGTGCTCCGCGGAAATGGCCAGAGACATCAAATGCCGTCACTCCGACCGAGCCGAGAAAAGCCGCACGGGCAATTGTGGTTGAAGAGATAAGGCTAAAGCCTTCCAGCCGGATGGGCAGCTGCACTTGGGCGGAAACCGAGTCAGGGAAGTCGCTAGGGAAGCAGAACATGCGCCTGAATGCCATAATGATGGCGGCGTCATGTCGCTCGGCGGCTGCCAGGGAGACATCGGAGTCTGGCGGGAGGAGGCGCAGCCAATAGTGTAGCCGAGGGGATGCACAATAGCGGAGAAGGCCAGAGCCCTGCAAGCCTATTTGGGCAAAGGTCACGATTGGCTCGAGCAGCGGCTGGTAGCTAGTGGTGATCTTCTCGAGGCTGCGCTGAATGAAAGAGTTGGCGCCAAGCAGCAGCCGAGGACAGTGATGCCCCCAAAGGAACACTTCACGCTGCAAACGGCGATGTCCGCCGGGACGTCGGAGTCTTGTTGCTAGCGGGGGCTTCATGCAGCACTCTTGTCTCTTCGCAGCCTCAGTTTCTTCTCAGCCAGAAGCTGCTCAGCTCTGTCCACATACCGCGTCACACGTGTCTTGTCCAGTCCACCATCGATGTCGTGCATGAACGTACCAATAAAGTCGTCGGAGAACTCCTCTTGCACTTCAGCGAGAGCGGGGTGGAGGCCTAGGCAGAAGAGAAAAAGGCCCGCCGCATCGCCCTTCTGGATGCTCTCATGACTAAGGATGGTCTCTGTGCGTCCATCCTCCATGCAATACCACAGTTCAGCCGGGGTACCGTAGAACTGCCAAAAGAAGTCGAGAAAGGACGGCCACTTTGTGCCGAGCTCGTCGAGGATTGCCTGGCGGTCGATGCTGTTGAAGGCGTTCTGCAATCCAAAGTCACCAAAACACGCTTATCCGAGTTGTCGCGGCTCCATGAAGGTCTGACAGGCCCGAAAGACTTTTTCTCCGCCTGCCGACGTACCGACCGCAAACTGCAGGGGTGAAAATTCCTCCCTGAAGGCAAGTTTGCTCTCGATACAAACCGCCTTCGTCACCCATCTTTAAAGCACATCACCTACAGCGATCGGCAGGACCCGTCCGTTGTCTTTCATCAAAGCAAAAAGGCGGGCGGCCGAAGGAGTCTTAGTGCAGCTGTCCGGCATATCTCAAGCGGAGCATCCGATTGACAAGAGAGGGTAGGGCGACGGTCTGGTCTTGCGCCGTTGCGTCACCCTCTGCCATGCAAGAACGCAGGTGCTCGTACCGCCAACCTGTAGGGCCAGCTGCGGATCCTCATGACGCCGTCTTGAGGGCAGCCGATAAAACCCTGGGTGGGACAGTGAGAAGCGTGGGCAGCCCATCCGGGCTGTGCTGGGGCTGCGGCTTGGTAGGCGACGGGGCAGCAGGGTGTAGGTCTTTGAGCTGCTGGAGTGTTGCAGCTGTCGCTGGAGCGACTTTAGCAGCCGTCAGCCGCCTTGCCGCACGTGACAGCTCCCCCTGCTTCACCAGTCGCTCCGTCGCTTGCAGTTTGATCTCCTCCAATGATGGTTCACGCACGTCTCTCACTGGTCCATCGCCATGTGGAGCGAATACGTGGCGACCCTGCTGAGCAAAATTCTTGGACTCGTCGAGCAGTCCTTGCCACTCTCCAGCCAACCGCTGAAATCGGGTGCCCCACTTGCGGCGGCCATCCGTCCTACCGCGATTCATCGGGAAGAGGAGCATGTCGGCAAAAAGATAGCAGTCAGGCAGCCGATATCCGAATCCTCCTCGCTCTTCACGTACTTCTCGGTGGTGTCAACCACCATCTTGAGTGCATCCCGGACACACCCGGGCATACGGGATATAGTGCGGACGCCCAGCTTAAAGTGGTCATCTCGCTGCTCGGCGCTGAGGCCTCGAAGGTAGTCAAGCCCACGCTGCGGGAAAATCCCTCTTGAGCGGAACCAGTGGGCATCATGGGGCGGGTCAGACGGCGGATCTGGGGGAGGAGGAGGTCCTCCTCCGTTTGGGGGCGGGCCATTGCCGCTCGAGTCACCATCCCCTGACCTGCCATCTCCCGGGTCACCGGATGGTATGCCGGGCGGCGGCGGGGGTAGAAAGCCACCCCTGCCTCGGGCGCCCCGTGAAGCTCCGTCCGCTCCTCTACCGCGACCCCTCCCGCGAATACGACGCGTAGGGGGTGCAGGCTGAGAGGCGCCACCTTCACCAT